AATTAAAGGAACTGGTAGGAGAGAGAGAGAGAGAGAAGAAGGAGGAGGAGGAGGAGGAGGAGGAGGAGGAGGAAGTAGAGAAAGGGACAAATGAAAAGATAAAAGAGAATCAATGGGACTTGGGGACTAGTTGACTTTGGATGAGGTGATGGAGAGACAGGGCTAAAATATCCTCTGGCTAGTTCACTATATGACTATAATCCCCAAGAGAACTTTTGAAGAAGAAAACTTCTAGGGGCAGGAGAGAGAAAATGACTTCAATTTTGGACTTATAAAGTTTGAAATACTTGTGAGATATTCAGGAGAAGATATCCAGAAAACAGAGATTCATCTCTGGAGTCCAAAAGAAGTACCTGAGATTACTTAGTAGAAAGAGAGTCTCTCTGAGAGCAAGGGCCTATGTGGATTTTTGTTACTAGTGTGCAGTAATTATAAAGGAGGTACATCAATTTGTAAAAGCAGTGGTTGTTCAAGCCTTGGAAATAGATGAACCCATCAAGGCAAGTACAGAATGAGAAGAAAAGAGTCATGGAATTAGAAGAATCTTGATAAATCATGGTATTAATGACTGAATGAAGAAGAACCCAGAAAAAAGCCAAGACAATAAAGCAGACAGGTCCTTTAGATGGTGTCCCCAAGGCAAACAAACATTTAAGGAAAGAGGGAGGCATCAATGGAATCCAATGTGAGAGAACCCAGGAAAAATAAAGATGGACACATGGCCATGAGATTTAGCAACAAGTTGTTTGTATTCACAGAAGTTTCCAGGTTTCTATAGGATGACAGTATAAAGCCAGGAATCAAGCACAAATGGGTCAAAAGATATTAGAGAAATAGTGACAGGATAAGATTAAACTTTCAAAGACATGGAGAAAAATTCTACTTGCTTACATTATGGATAGCCAATACTTGTCTCAACATAATGTATAAGAGTGGCTTTCAGGCCGTTTTGAACATCACTTGCTATAACAAGTACATTTTACATCACAACTTAATAAATTTAACTGACCAAAAGCTCCATGAAAAAATATTTACTGTAAATATATGGACATTTCATATACAAGGAAGCATAGAAAAACTTTGTGGAACTGCCTTTTATATTTAGTATATTTTTAAAGTTTTTCTATGTTGTAGCATTGATCAAATTTCATTTATATGGCTGAATAATATTCCATTTTATTGGATATACTGCATTGGGTTATCCAACATACATCAGTTGACATATTTGTCGGGGCAGGGGGGTTCTGGGGATCATACCCAGGGGCACTGAGCTACATCCCTAGCCCTTTCATTATTTATTTGCTTATTTTTTTGGGACCAGGGATTGAACTCAGGAGCACTCAACCACTAAGCCACATCCCCAGCCCTACTTTGTATTTTATTTAGAGACAGGGTCTCACTGAGTTGCTTAGCACCTTGCTTTTTTGCTGAGGCTGACTTTGAACTCATGATCCTCCTGTCTCAGCCTTCTGAGCTGCTGGGAGTACAGGGGTGCACCACCATGCCTGGCTCATCCCTAGCTTTTGATAAACTATTATTTTGAGACAGGGTTTTGCTAAGTTGCCCAGTCTGATTTCCAATTTGCAATCCTCCTGCCTCAACTTCCCAAGTTGCTGGGATTAGAGGTGTGTGCTACCACATGCAGTAGTTATGGGCATTTGAATTGTTTCCATCTTTCGGCTACTATGAATATCACTATTACTTTTTGGCTACTATGAACACATTCATGTGTGAGTTTTTTTTATGTGTGTATATTTTTACTTCTAATAAATACATACCGAGGAGTAGAATTATTGGGTCAAATGGTAACTCTCTTTAATTTTGGAGGAAACATCACAGTGTTTCCAAAGTGGCTCCAACATTTTACATTTCCATTAGCTGTATTTTGAGGGTTTCAATTTCTCCACAGCCTCTGTGACATTTGTTATTATCTGGCTATTTGTTTTTATCCATTCATTAGATCAAACTTCTAGATCCAAATGTAGATGTATAGAATACACATAGGACAGGGACAAAAACATTTTAAATTGCAGTACCATTATACAGATTATAAAAATATATACTGTAAAGCCTACATTCTAGTGAATATCTAGTGTGGATATCGCATTACAAACAAGGCTGTAGTGAGTATCCTGTATTTGTATTTCCAGTATTTGATTCAAATTTCCCTGATGGCTAACCAGGTTGAATATCATTCATGTGCTTAATTGACCATGTCTTTGGATAATGTCTATCCAGATACTTTGACAATTTTTAAATTGAATTATATTTCTTTTTATGAGCTCTTTATATATTCTAGATAGAAGATACATTATTTGCAAATATTTCCTCCTATTTTTTGAGTTCACCATTCACACTCATGATAGTGTCCTTTGAATCATAAAAGTTTGAACTTTGATGAAATCCAAATTATCTGTTTTTTCCTTTGGTTGCTCTTGCTTTCATGTCATTTCTAAGAGAACAAATGGAAAGTCACAAATATTTACTCCCATTCTCCCTATTTTGTCAAGTCTATCCACAATATCATTGTCATTTCTAAATAATTAATATTAATTCCTTTATATCACCAATTATTTGGTTTGTGTTATTTCCAGATTTTTATAAATTTCACAAATGTGTATCTGTATACAAGTTCCATTCCAGTCAGTCTTTTTTGTTTTCTGTTTATGTGTAAAGAACTAGATTGTTGGTCATGCAGATTTTATAGTATATATTTTTATGATCTGAATCCCTGCATGGGAGTTTAAAATGTTTTTATTTTCTGTCCTTCATGTGTGCATCAGTAGTCAAATCTAGACACTTGATCTGATTCAGGGGTTTTTGTAGTTTAGGCAAGAATCATTCACAAGTGGTGCTATGAAACTTGTTAAGTGGGGACCTATTTAGAGTTTATTCTATCTTGTAGGGCCAGGGGCCATTTTGTTTATGACCTCAATTCATTCAGAATTTCCAATAATCCAGTTAAGATGGATTACTGTTTTAGCCTCAAAGATTTCTAGAGAATAGCAAGCAATTCTCATTCCTCTTATAGTACTTAATTTGTTTTATCTCTGGCTAAAACAGTTTCTTACCCCTCACCATTATCTATTTATCGACTCATACAGATACAGCATGTAAGAGCAAGAAAAGCTCTGAGAGTTCTTCTGTATGAGGTAATCCATAACTCTTAGAGCTCATGAAACTGCAGAAATTGTGTATATTTTTTTGAGATGAGGGTTCTGAGGTGTCACTGAATTCTCAGATATGAGTCTTCATGTGACAGAGACTTGGAGGCCCAGATACTGGAAAGGAGTTGTCCAAAAGTTACACAGCAAGCTTGAGGTAGAGCTTGAAGTAAATATGAAAACTTCCAGCCTCTAGTTTAGGACATTTCCCCTCTAGGGTTAGACACTAGGTCACTTTATGAGGAGATTATTACAAGTAGATTATAAGTTATTTAAAATTTATATGTGGCATTAACCCTGGGCTGGCTTCCCGTTTGGATACTCAGCATGCTCAAAGAGTGCAAGCGAATGGTCGTAGTGTGAGAAAACCATAATTAGGAAAGGACCAGAGCATCTCTAAATAAGAGAAAGCCAAACAGAGTTGGATTTTGAATAATTTGTTGTATGTCCATGTGGTTCTCCCTATAGCACTGGATTGTGAGCTTTTTATAGCTAATTGTAAGTTGCCTATATATACTTTAGGCAGTGGCCAAATACCGTTTGTTTCCCTCTAGGCCCAGGGTCCAAAGTGGTTGCCAAGGTATTTGCATCCGCCCTACCTACCTATCCCAATTTTCCATTCCTATTCCCTCCTCCTCATCTTTTACCCTGCCATTTCCCAACCTTTCTCCCTCTTCATCATACCCCTATTTCTTCTTCCTCCTTCCCACCTTCCTTTCTTTCTGTGGTCACCTCCTCCCTCCCTGCCCAAGCTCGCTCCCCTTCAGCCCCTTTGGCTGGCTCCCTCCCTCTTTCCCAGTCTCTCCTTTACCTCTCTACATCCCCCTCAACCCACCCCCAACAAGCCTCCCCACCCCCATGCCAAAACTGACTGCCAGTGGCTCCGGGTTCGTTGGAAAGGAGCAAGCCAGCTCAGGGAGTCTTGGGAACTCCGATTGGCTGCCACAGCTAGCATGCCAGCGCAAGTCCCGCCTCCAGGCTGCGTACGCGCTGCTGCAGCATCTGCTATTGGCGGGTGGGCCTGTCAGCCGCTCTGGCTGCGGCTCACGCAGGCGCCCGCAGTCTCTTGGTGAATAAAAAGGCAGCCTACGGGCTGAAGTGGGGGTGGGGAGAGGAGAGGAAGAGGGCCAGCGAGCAAGGGCTTGAAAGAGTGGCTGGCAGCCTGGAGCCCCTCGAAGAGAGCGAGCAAGGAAGGAAGCCAGCTTAGGAAAGCAAGCGAGTTAGAGAGAATAGGGGAGACTGAGACTGACCGCTAGCCAGGCAGGCGGACTGACGCACGCCCAGACAGACTCAGGCGCTGGAGAACCTCTGATAGGTTCCTCCCGCCTTTCCCTTTGAAAACCAGGATTTTGCTTTTTCCTTGGCGCCCGAGAGAGAATGCTGGACTCTGCCGTCTTCAGCGCAAGCTAAGATTTCTCAGCTAGGGAAGGAATAGCAGCCCAATCCTGAGAAGGGGGAAACAAGCGCCCCTGTCCCCATCCCCCTCCCCTACCCCCCCCCACCAAACTCGGGCGCCAAACCCAGCCCTTCCCTAACCATCCGACTTCCTCCTCTCCTTTCTAGCATGGTGGCTGTATGGACAGTCTGACAGAACAGAGACTGACATCTCCCAATCTGCCGGCCCCCCACCTGGAACACTACAGTGTTCTGCATTGCACCATGACCCTGGATGTGCAAACTGTAGTCGTTTTTGCTGTGATTGTAGTCCTCCTGCTTGTCAATGTCATACTCATGTTTTTCCTGGGAACGCGCTGAATGGAGTCCAGCCACCTGAGCTGTCGCGAACTCTCGCTTTGATTTCATCCCGAGAGCCACCGAGAAAAAAAAAAAAAGAGAGAGAGAGAGAGAGCGATCGAGCAAGAGAGAGAGAGAGAGACAGAGACAGAGACAGGGAAAGAGAGGGAGAGAAAGAGCAATTCTTATTCAGGGGGGAAAACGTTTTGAGCTTCAACATGGCCTCGCTGTGATATGTATGACGTTGGTATATTATCTATCCCTAAATCTTTTGTCATGTCTTGTCTTTTAAGTATGCCTGTGAGTGTAGTTGCTTATTGCTTGAGTGAAATTTTTTGATAAAGAAATGTTTTCTATTTTAAGTGTGCATGCGTGTGTGCATCCTCCATCTGTGTGACGTTCATGGGGCAAGCTCTGCGTCCTTAACAGTGGCTTCGCTGTTTGTGGTGTCTTGTCAACTCATTTTCTTGAAAACTACCTTTAAACTCCATTAGGGAATTTTATTCAAAATTTCTCTCTTGCCATCTGGAGTGCATTTGGGTTTGTTTGAGGTGGGGGTAAGGGGGAAGGGGTTTGTGGAAGAGCATGATGAATTTTTGGATCTTAGGAATGGCAGTTGTACACTGGATATTTAGAAGGGAAAAAATTGATGCAAGAAATGGATTTAGGGAAAATGATTCTTTAATCTATAATGAGAAGCAAGAATTTGGGAAGTGACGCGGTGGGGTTCCTTGAGCTGGCAGTTGGTGACTCTGTCCTTTGAATCTCAATTTGCTGTCCAGGGTTCACAGTTTCCAATTTGGAAAGAAGCCACCTTTAAAGTATTTCTTAAAGTATTAAATATCAATTTATTTGGAATCATGGAATGGGATATAAAAATGTTCTCTGATATTTTGAATTGGCAAGAGAGGACTTTGACAAGACATGTTTGGGCTTCTTTCCCCAGAGATTGTACCCCTGGATTTGAGTTTGAGGATTTTTTCTGGTTCTCATCCAAAAAACAAAATCCAGCTTTTTACCTACCTTGGGAATAATAGTATTGGATGTGTCTCCTTTGGGGTAATTTGCAATAATGTTCTTGAACTACATTCTAAATAGAACTTGATTGCTTTGATGACAAAGTAGTGGTGGTATTCTTTGCCTTCTTGTTTGTTGCTTTAAGAGCACAGGTCTAATTGACACATTACCATAACTGAATGTATGTAATGTGCTAAATTGAGTTTTGAGCACTAAAAAGAGGTCTAGATGAAATGGGATGAGAGCTCAGGAAACATGAGCTGGAAGCTACATTCCAATTTGAGATGTCTGCTTGTTTGTATCATATGATGGTGGTGGTTGCTGTTATTATTTTTATATTTCTGTTTCTGCTAAAAAAGCTCTTGGAAAAACTAGGAAAATTTTGTTTCTGATGCCAGTGTACACATAACTTTTTTTTTCTCCTTTGTTGATGTAGGCAGGTCTTCCTCATTCCATTGCTTACCTGACTTGAAATATTGCTATTTCTGGCTCATGTAGCAATGAATCAGGGTTCATACACATCCACACACATTCTCCCCCTACACTAATGTGGGTGGCTGCTCATGTATGATGTGCAAATCTGCTGGCATTATGCTGTCAAGTTCCATGGCATTTTGTTGAATCTCTTTGGAACTGATGATAAAGGGAGAGGGGCTGTGAAGGGGTCCTTCTAATTGTTCTCACTACAGGACCCAGAGTTATTTAATGGCGTCAGTCAAGATTTTGAGCCTCAAAGCACATTCTTATTGACTCAGTGTGGGTGAGAGGCTGAGTTGTGTTTTTATGTTTTTTCTTCTTTCGTACCACGGTATAAACATGATCTGGGAGGTTTGCTGGCATTGATTATTATTGATTACTCTTTGGTCTCTTTGTGAAGACCCCTTGTGTGGAACCAAGAACTTGTTTCTTTGCAAAGAATCTAGTGAGTTGTTTATTTTTGAATCTGTTAGCTCTGAGAGATATTATTTAAAGTAAGTTTCTGTCTTACCTGGGTACTTTGTTTTTAGACAGGGTTGGAGAATGGGGAAAAGACTGGGCAGCTGCAGACTGGAATTTTCTTCATTCAGTGGCTATTTGACCTTGGGGAATTTTTTTCCTTCCTCAGTGAGTTTGGGATTCCCTGTAACATTGACGTTTTGAAATGATTGGACTAGTTAGTTGACTTCCAAGTTCTTGCTTTCTATAATTTGGGCACCCATAAGTACTTTCCAGTTCATCCCCTTTGACTGGAAAGTCAAGTGAAAAGGATAGTGATATGTTAATTAAGAGATGATGGGAGGAGAGGCTGAATATTTTTACTAATATCTGGAGAATTTCACCTAAGGAATTTTTGTCCTACCTATGTGGTAAGGAAATGGGGATTGCAACACTGAATTCTTTTTGGACTTTTTATTTTCACTAAAGGGAGAATGGATTTCTAAGACTAATCTTTGAACCTGGCTTATGACTAAGTAGTGTCATGAAATGCCTTCCCCCTGGTGCTTGACAGACCCTTGGCAAAAAGCCTTTTGGAATGTATGTGTCTAGGGTGGTAGCAGTATGTTTGTGGGAGTGTGTGTACGCCTTTCTCTGTGTTTGTGTGGGTGCACACTCCTGAGTGTGGATGGAGGGTGGTGGTGGTAGGAATGAGGAAAGACAGCACTGAGTTCCACAGTTCTGAATGGCCTCCTTGTGCTAGGGCTTGTGAAGATTTAAATGAGACTAGGATGGATGGGTGTCACCCATGCATCTTTCTCCTACCACCTAAAACCCCTCGGGCTTTATGGGTAGCTTGAAAAACCCTTCTACCAGTAATTTAGCTACTGTAGTTCACACCTTTCAAATTCATTTTTCTGTAGGTAAATAAGGGATGGAGTTAGTCAAATGGCCGGTTTTCCTGGAACAGCCAAAAGGTAATTTGGGCAGTAGAGAACAAAAGGTGGCAAAGTGACTTTTTACTTGTGTGAATCCTAAAGGTTTGGCATTTCTCCTTCAGAAGTGTGAGGGCATGCAAAAAGAGAAAAGAGTGGGAGAATATGAGATATGCAGTCCAGAGAAATGGAACCCTATGCATTTTGATCTGTTTTCTTTTTTCCCTCCTCCTGCCTCCTCTCTTAGTCTTTCCCCTTTCCTCCATTACTTTTCTTCCTTTTTCTCCCTTCCCTAACACCACCCCTTCCACTGGAAGAGGATGAGAAGTAAGAGGGCTTTTCCTCTTTGAATTGCCATGACTTTTCCCCATAAATGTCTTTTTCCCCCTTTCCTCCTTTCTGATCCATTTGAGTATAGGATAAGCTTTTGCTACTAGGAGGGGCAAAATCCCAGCTCAGGGATTTTGGTTCCCAGCTTCCCACCCAAGAATTAAAGAAAATGGCCTCTACTGGTATCCTAGCAACCCCTGTATCACAGTGCCCACTGAACTTCAGAGCCTGTCATTTAAGGGCCCAGGCCCCACAGTCTCCTTATAAGGGATACAGCCAAGTGGGGCTTGGAAAGGTGCTTTGGGGGAGGGAAGACAGAAAGAACAAAATCTTCATTGGCTGCAAATGCCTAGAAAACACGTTCACAACAGGCATACAGAGCCTAGCCTTGCCTAATCATGGGGACTGTTTATTGGAAGACTCATGGGTTCAAGTATCTCTATATAGTTACTACTCCCTCCTTAAGTTTAGCTGATCCACTGCCTAACTTTAGTGTAGAAGGTCTGCAGGTTCTGAAAAATATTTTTTTTCCTCACCCTAACTTTTGACTTCAGCAAGGAGAGTAAAGTGATAGCTTTGTGGGAACAAACTGAGCACTTTTCTTTTGTTAAGAGTGCTTCTGTCAGAACCTGCAACATCTGCTTGTAGAGTTTACCCCAATTTTGTTTGAGGCTTGGGGAAACATGACTAACCCAGATGTAGTGTGCATTTGGGAGGGGATGTTCTTTCTGTGATTCAATAGTTTCTGACTGGGAAAGTTGGACAAGTTGGAAGAGTCAGTTTGATTGTGAAGCTGGTGAGCAGGACTTGGAGTCAGCTTCTGGAGCTGAGGGATTCCAATAGTCTTGTGGGTGAGGGGCTGTAGTGTTCTATAGTGAGGCCTAGATAGTACTTGACTGATCAGATGATGCACACTGGTAGTTCCAGGGATTATACCGAAGTATGTCCTCTTTAGTCTGCTATATCAACCTATGATCTCATTTTTGGCTAACCAAGTACTTGCTTTTAGGTATGAGAATTGAGCCATTTCTCCCAAAATAACTGCCTCTCCAGAAGACTTCATACAGGGATCTATCTCCAGTGGCTTTGCCCCAAGGAATGGGATGGAGGAGGTGAATCTTATACTCTCTAAGCCTTATTTCTAACACTGCAACTTGTTCTAGGTGGAGTGTATCTCTGGCTTTCCAAGAATCTTTGATTAAAGCTTAGCTCTTCCAATATGTGCCCAGAATTTTTTTTTCTTCTCTCTATAGGTGGATCTAGCTCTAGAGTATTTAGTTCATTGTACTTTTCCCTGGCATCAAAGTACAAAATGGAAAAGGCCCTCAAGGAGAGTGTAGGCTTGGGAAACAGTCCAGTAATGGCTATATTAATAACCCTTTTTCAGTGCATGGGCCTAATAAAGTTTACAAAATAAGTTACATACTTTCTAATTTGACTATCACATAATTCTTGTGAAGTTGCAGGGATGATTGTTATTCTTTTTTACAGATGAGGAGAGCAAAGGCAAGAGAGATTGGTAGGATGAGAGTGGGTATTCCTTTCCAACAGAGAGGTGGGAGAGTCAGAGTCAGATCATTCCCAGCTTTGTGAAACAGTAAGGGGTTAGGTGGGGAGGAAAGTGTGTGTGAGTCATGCCTGAAGTCATACTAGCTTCCTCAGCTTTACTTGCTTTCATTTTTAGTGCTTTTTAATACCTTTCATTTGTATAGTGCTTTTGCACAGAATTCGTTAGTCTATGAAATGCCACCTTTTTGTCTTGGATATATATCAAAGAGTTCCCTTTAGTCAGACTTATGAAAAGACACTATTTGGGATCTTCAAGGTTAAAGCCAGTGTGAATTGCTGAACCCTAAAATACAGAATGTTTTGAAAGAACTGCCGTTTTTATGCAGTTGGCCTTCTTTTTGAAACACACGTATTTTTCTTTATTTCTTTAAAAATGTGCTGCCCAGAACTGATCATGCTACTCCAAGTGCCACCTGGCTGGGATCAAGTACAAAGGGACTTTGATCTATCTGTGAAATGTCTAATAATGCATCCTTCTACTGGTTCTCAGTTCTCACTGAACATTTAGATCACTTGGGGAGATTTTAAATACCTATGCCAGATCCCTACTCTGAGAGTTTCTGACTTAATTGGAATGGGCTAGGTCTCAGGCAGCTTTTTTTTTTAATTTAAAGCTTCCCAAGGTGATTCAAATATGCAGCCCAAGTTAAGAGATACTGCATTAGCCTTTGGAGCTTATAGTTTGAAACCATTTCCTATCTGGTCCAGTTCTCTATTCCCTTGTGCAGTTGGACTTTTGAACCAATTTAAATTTTTTGAACCATACTTATTAATGCACACTTTGTTTGGTTGGTTCATTATTCTAGTTTTTTATAACTTTAAATGTTTTTTCTCCATGCTGTGCAATAAATTAGCAGTTTCTTCTAACAGTATCAGTTAAGCTCTATTTTACTTGGTGTGTCATTGTTTTAGTTTTTGTGTTTTTTTTTTTAAATTTACTTCTTCATGACATATATAAGATTACCAGTCTCTTCCAGCATTGTATCATTTGAAAACTGAGTAAGGATCACTCAAGTTGTTGATTCAAAGTAGTATTTAATATGATGAGGTTAATACTCTTCTGGCATCTCACCAGGGCCCCCTCTTGGAGTTGATTTTTGTTTGTACATGGTCAACCAGTACAGACTCCATAAGGCTGTGCTGTCATCTCTCCTACCAATATGTTAATGAGGATTTGTTTTATACTTATAGACATCATGATATTCTAGGTACATAGGTGTTATTTCTGATGGTTCCTTCAGAAAAAGGAGTATAAGTTACTTGGCATCTTACTCTTGAAAAATCCAGTAGCAGTCTCCAGAGCTCCCCGTTTTCTTTCAATGCCTACAAACTATATGTTTCATAAATGGATCCAATAACACAACTATAGTTTCTGTGTATCACTTTCCTTTCCCCTATTTGGAAAACAGAGCATCATGGATGTAACTTTAAAACAGAATGTATTTTGTCCTCTAAGAATCCAGGAAACCGCACATGTTTTCCTTGTTGCTTGGCTGAATTGTTTCCATTAACCTAGTGGATTTCTGCCCTGGATGAACATTGGAGTCACCTGGGGAGTTAACAAGACTAACAACATTTCATAGAATCTCTGGGAGAGATCTGATTGAATTAGTCATGGTGGGGCCCTGGCATCAATATTTTTCTAAAACTTCCCTGAGGTGATGGGAATGTTCTGCCAGGGATGAACGAAAGAGACTGCTATGGAATTGTTCAAAGGAAATATTAGCTCAGTTTGACTCTAACTTATCACACATGGGCATAGGTAAGCTTTGCAGATGGTGAAATTTTATTCCAGGATTTGTGATGGCTTTGATGAATTCCAGAGGTTTGTGGTCACTCTGAAAAGAATTTAGCCTACGGAGTGGGTAGTCTCGTGCCTATTTGTATTTAAAATACAGTTTGCTCTCTGTATCTACAGGTTTTAGTGCATCAACAGATAGAAAATATTTGAGAAAAACAAAAATAATAATACAATAAAACCTATGCAACATAACAACTTTGCATAGCATTTACATTGTAGTAGATATTATAATCTAGTAGAAATATACAGGAGATGGGGCTGGAGGTATACCTCGGTGATAAAGTATTTGCCTAGCATACGAGGCTTTGTGCTTAACCTCCAGCACTGATATAAAAATGAAAGATAAAAATAAAAAGAGTACACAGGAGGAAGTACTTAGGTTATATGCCAGTACTACACCATTTTGCATAAGGGTTTTGAACATCCTCTGATTTTGGTATTCAAATACGTCCTGGAACCAAGCCCCTACAGATACCTGGGGACAACTATAAACAGCTATCAGATTGTTTGAACCCTTCAGGAAAAAAATTCCTTCACATTTTTGTAATGATGCAAAGATTCTGCTAATTTGCTGGGTGACCTCAGATAAAAATACTTCTCCCTTCTGAAATTTGTTTTTCCTCATCTATAAAATAAGAATAGGTGGGTTAGATCCCTTTAAAGATTTGATCAGCTCTAATGTGTGCTCATTTTGTGAATAATATTAATGATCAAAATGATTGTGGAAATTATTCAAAACCAGTATGCAATCCAGCAATTCCTTTTAGCAGGTTTAGAATCACAGTGTGGTTATGGCGGTAATAGATTTGTATTCTTAATTGTATTTGGCTTATGTTTCTTTTGTAACAGGTGAAATATATGTTGTATTCTTTAAGCAAACACTGACTGTGAATCAGGGAAGGGAGCCATATAGTGAGTTGAATAGTGAGAGTATACCAGTTTGGGATTTAGCTTCTTGAAGAGATCTGCCTTATGAATAATTGATAATTATTATAGAATCATTTATAGAATCAGTCTCATAGGTCTGGGAAAGCATAGGAGATAAGGGACTTGCTCCTTTGACATCCCAGAGTCATTTCCTGTGATATTTTAAGAATTAATTAACTTAGTTAATACTGCCTCCTCTACAAATAGTAGTGAACATTTTGACAATATTTCCTATTTATTTTGTTGGCTTCTTCTTCAACCTAAAAGTTTATGAAATTGAGGCCAAGAAAGAATAAGTGACTTTCTCAAAGCTATAAAGTAGGAAGTGATAGTGTCTGACCTAGAACCCAGGACTCTTGTCACCACATCCTTTAGTGCGTCCAATGTAGCCTGCATTTTGGATCCTGTGATCAGG